CAGAGCTTCACTACAAATGGCAGCGTAACCAAACAAAGCAAACACCTCCCAAACAATCCAGCCTGTTCTTGTTTCTCCTCTCACCAAAAGAAAAAAAAAAAAAAAAAAGTAATTGTCACTTGCAATTGTCTTGATTTGGCAGTCCTGAGGGGTTTTTTATCTTCCCATTGACCGGAAGCAACCCAGCTCTGTAGAAGCACACACAGATCTGCACCACATCAGAGATTTGTTTACCAAGTCCCATTCTTGATTTTTTTTTTTACTATAAACCCCTCTCAGATCACAGCTGTAGTTCTATTACTTCTCTGAGACAAAGCTGATTTAAAAGATTCCTGATTGTCCCTACTCTTCAGTATTCTTTCCTTCTCTCCATTTCCCATCTGTATCTGAGGTCTTCTCAGCTGTGCCACATCTCACATGTGGTGGTTGCTGGAAAGGGGGAACCAAACCCCAAGACTAAGTTGGTAGAGTTGCACCACCACTGAAAGAGGTACACATGTAAGCGTATCCTTAACAAAGGCAACCTGCTTGTAAATGTCTTTGAGAGAAAGGGCTTTTCAAACCCACAGCAGTCTGTGGTTGTGTGACCCTCAACAAGGGGAGCTGTGCATCACTGGATAGTCAGCAGGACAAATTTCATCAGGATGAGACTGCTCAGTTGCAGTTTATACCAGATGCAGAAGAGATGAAACAATGTGCCAGAAAGCTATGAGAAAAGCTATGAGATGAAAGTGCCCCTTTGACATTTCCCGACCAAACTTTTACTGGCACAGTTTATAGCAAGTCAACACCTTTTGTCGCCTGGACTGAGCACATAATCTTGTTCCGTTCTGTCATGGGGCTCATCATCACACAGAGCCGCAGCTAGAGTTTGTAATTACAAAAAAACTCCCAGGTTTCTACTCACAGAATAAGCATGTTTGGTACAGAAGTAGCAGCATGAGGTTGCTATGGTGGGATGTTTTTTTAGTAGAAAGACCACATTTTAAAGGCAGCTTTTCATCAACAGTAATACTTTTTTGGAAGCCTTTTTCATTGAAGTGGTTGGTAGCTTCCATCCTGAGTACCAACAGAGGAGTCATTCCCTATGTCTTTTACAGTTTCTGAACTCTGCTGCAGGGTCAAAGAGGAAAACGGCTAACACATAATTACCCAGTAACAGTGGCGATAACACGTCACCTCTCCAGCCAAAGTCTCCCTGATAGCTTACATGTTGCAGGAAGTATTCCATTATTTTAGACAGTTAGTTGGTTGTTGGTGGCCAGATGGCAGTTGCAAGATAATAATAGTTGGCAATCTAGTACGTGTCTTTGCTTCTTCCAAGGTTTGCTTCTTCCAGAAATATCCAGTGTTAAAAATAGCAGGAATGAGTATGGGAAGCCATTTTCTAATGGCTCCCCGCTTTTGTTTTATTTTCATTACAAAAATCAATGCAGGAGTCTTTCTCATACCTACGTTGGCTGGTCCCACTCTAACTGTGCTCTTTTAGCGAGCACATTGAGCACTTAATCACACTTAATTATTTTGTCTAAAGCCCATATATTTGCTGAACAACCAGAAATAGCTCTGGTCATTCTTACTGTAGACTTTTCCTCTACAGATGTCACCTTGGGGTCTGCCTGACATCTGAGGTTTTATTAATTACTAGTCTTACTACTGCTAAGAGCAAAAGTGTTATCAGCTAGGTACTGTTGCTTACTGATAAAATAAGGTATGTCATCAAGTATATAATAAAGTTCTGTCATAAACTGCACAGTTCTACAGCCATATGTGGCTGAGATTTACATGCACTTCCTTGATTTTAAAAGGCATCTTCTTATCCCATCCCATTCCTCTGTCAGATTCTGGCATCCCAATGTGGCCATGTCATTGCTAAAGAAGCTACAGGTAAAGGTGATCTTACAAGCAAATGTCAACATTAAATCAAACCACAAGTATCTATCTACATTAGTATTTTAATCATCCAAGGCAGGTGGGGCATAGTAGTATTTCAAGAGATTTAAGTGACCTTCACAAAAGATTCATCTGTAGATCTCTGAATACATCACTGATGCACCCAAGTTCTCAGAGACTCCATAGCACAATGTGTTTTAAAAGACAATTTTCTCTAGAAAGGGACTGTGACATTCATACTAAGAATAAGAATTTCATTTCACTTTAGAACCAATGAAAAACAGTAAGAGTCTAGTATCAATGCAGCGGTCGGCATCTGATAAAGAAAACAAGGAATTGCATATCAGGCATTATGGTGACAAAACCAAAAAACTGCTTCCTGCTGGCATATGTTGAAACTGCTGCTGAAAAAAACTCAAAACACTCAAATGCTAACTTTGTGGTGTAATTGTACACCATGTTCATAGCACCTGGAACATGCTACATGCATGTGTGCTCGAAGGAGGAAAGACATAAGAAATGAGAACAAATAGTGGAGCTGTTTTAAGGGAGAAGGCAACACTGTTCACATCTCCCTCCACACTACTCAATCTGCTTGTGAGGAGGTTGTCTATATAACTACCATCCTCACTAAATAAATGTCGGAAGCAAAGTACAAAGTGATTATTTCCCCTCTTAACTCAAAACAAAAATACAGCTATAGTCAGTAGTCTGCAGAAAAGGCACAAAAAACAAAACTAGCACAGCTCAGGAGCCAAACCTGTAAGTTGAGTCTTAGTTAGTACCTTTAGAAACTCATGTGTTCAGCTTTAGAGCTTAATTGCTTACTAACCATTTGCCATCCATCTCCCCCCATGAAAGATGAAACGACTAGCAAATATATCCTCTTTAGGAGAGCCAACAGTAGCCCTTCTTGCTGGCTCTACCTCTTCATGCACAACATGCTCTCAGAAGCAATTCTCAGTGTTTTAAAACATTCCCTTTTGGCAAGGAGTGACCTAGCTTATTAAGAGACAACATTTCAAGTGTTCAACATACCACCCGTTATGCCTCTGCCAGGGTTTAACCCCACCTGGCACAAAGTACCACACAGCCGCTTACTCTTGGAATGGGGAGAACTGGAAAAAGGTAAAACATGTGGGTTGAGATAAGAACAGTTTAATAATTGAAATAAAATAAAATAATATTTTAATGAAAAGTGAGACAACAAAAAGATAGAGGAATAAAACCCAAGAAAGACAAGTGCTGCACAATACAATAGCTTACCACCCGCTGACTGAAGCCCACTCCATCCAGAAGCAGTGATCGGCCCCTCCCAGACAGCCCCTCCCCAGCTTCTATACTGAGCATGACATTCTGTTGTATGGAATACCCCTTTGGCTAGTTCGGGTTAGGTGTCCTGGCTCTGCTCCCTCCCATCTTCTTGTACCCTTCCTCACTGGCAGAGAATAAGAGCTGAGAAGTCCTGGATCAGGGTAAGCAGTACTTAGCAACAACTGAAACATCAGTGTGTTTTCAATGCTGTTCTCAGACTAAAGCCCAAAACACAGCACTGCACCAGGTACTAGTAAGAAAATTAACTCTGTCCCAGCTGAAGCCAGGACAGGTTCCCTCATCTGTAAATTAAATTAGAAAACAACATTATTATAATTTTGCAGCCCCAAGGACTTGAGCTGTGCTGTGCTCAGCGCTCTGAAAAAACATGCTGAGAATCAGCCCTGCACCAAAGTTGAAGGAGATGAGATGGGGATAAGGTGTAGAAGGTTTGCTTGGAAAGCAAAAGCCTTTATCCATAGCCATTTAGCAGAGCAGGAACAGAACCTAGGCCTCCCAGCTCCCTTTTCCTGGCTATTTAAAGCCATTTCTATTCTTATCAGGTACTAGTAGGAGCATGTCATCACAGTCAGACTTACATCGACAAAGCGAGACTGTCTATTCCAGAAATGCAGCTGAGGAAAACTCTGCAAGTCATCTAGTCCACCTGTTTCCTATGAAACAAGATCAAGTTTACCCTGATAATCCCCTACGTATTAGTATGATCGGTTTTAAAATGCCTCCAATATCAAGTCTACAACTTCCTTACAATGCTTGGCCTTATGCTGGAACATTTTTCCTGAAGGTCTATATTAAACCTCCGACAATAGAGTAATCCAAACCCTACACCTGTGACCCAAGTAATAATACACCAAATAAAAACCATGCAAAGAATATGTGTGTTTGGCTCTCAGGAACAATTCACTCAAGTTCCTAAGTAGCACAATTTCCTTTTTAGTGGGCTCCAGGAAACTGCATTGGAATTAGCTACTATTTGCATTTCCAGCTGAAGCCTGGGAATTGTTTATCAACGATTGTCCTTGAACACTTTGTTCCCAACAGAGTAAATTTATTCAGTTTTCATTTGACAGAAGAAGAGAGACTAATTTGGTTTAACCATTAAAAAGATAAGAGTTGATGGCTCCCTCTGCTTTCTTAGCAGTGAGAATGTGACTAGGTGGCCTGTGGTCAGGAGCTGTCTGCCTTTGGTGAGATCTGCCTGATTCACAAGCTCTGGCAGCTCACAATTAAAGGCTCCTTTCAGAAGGCGAGGAAAACTGGTATCAAGGCCTTGCTTACTCTTTTAGGATAGAGCACCAAAGCCTGACAGGTGATATCAGTGGGCTGAAACAGTGCAATAGTTTAAATGGTCCACTGCTCATTAGGAAGCCTCCAAAGCCTTTCACTTTGGCTTAGATTATTAGCTTTTTACAAGCAAGAGGCAGCTGTAATGGGAAGCTGGAAGTGCCCACTCAGTTGGAAACTGGAGCACCCAACAATCTCATACTGGCCAGAATCCCTCCTGGGAGAGCACATGCTGCCATACGAGTGAGAAAGCCCAAAGCAAAACCTAGGCTTCTGACCCTCCCTGTACAAGGACATATCATTGCATGAAAAGCTGGAGCATCAAAAAAATACACACTAGGGGAAATTGTGTTGCCCCATCAAAACTCTTATAGCAGTCTTTGGTGTAGTCCTCTTAAGGAGGACTTCCCTCCACTACTGAGTACAGGCAATGGTTCACTCTGCATCTGAGTGCTATTTCTCAAGGTACTGACTTGCACCTCACCTACCCTGCAAATGGCTTGCTAAGCTCAGTCATGCCCAGATCCTGGATTTGGTCACACAGTTTTGCTTGGCAGGTAAAGAAGCATTGGCTAGAACATTCTCTGTGTATGATTTGTTGTAAACTGCAACACAGGCAGAAAATGTTGTAAACTGCAACACAGGCAGAAATAAAGAGGCTATCACTTAAACAACCAATATTTTGCCATCCCTCACCATGCAGTATTAGGTCTAGATCCTCCTGAGTTAGGCTCTGTGCTCAAGGAGGGAACCATCATGCTAACTTTGTGGTAACAGGCATTAGTTAAATCCTGGCCCACTCTACTAGATACACATAAAACTTCCATACAAGAACAGAAAGCTCTGGAAGCTATGCAGTGCTGACTCTCCAAATAAGAGTTATTTCACTTTATTGTTTTAAACATTGTTTTTATTATACATCCAGGCAACACGTCAGATAAAGGCATAAATTCTTATTAAAAGGACACTGCCACCCCAAAGTCATTATTAAAAAAAAAAAAAATTACAAGTGCCATAGGCAGCAGTCTCAAGAGCGTTTAATAAATTTGAAGAACTGTATTCATACAGCTAAATGAAAAATTGAGCTCATGCCTTATTATAACAGCACCTGTGTAATAATCTCATCTGCTCCCAGCAAGCTGAAGGGCAGTGGCCTTCACTAGCAGTGAAATGACCATGTGCATGGGGAAGTTTTAGACTGACTCCAGCTACTGGGCAAGAGAATAGCTCCTGTGTCACCAGACACTCCATGCCCAGTTTGCCAGTGAGCTGCAGAACTTGGAAGAACACAAGGTAAATGGGGATGCAGCCTGAGGGTAGGATCCTCTAAACTGAAAACAAAGACTTCAAGGGCTTGTTGAACACACTGCTTCAGGGCAGCAAAGGCTCTCTGGCCCTCAGTTGACTTCCAAGTAAAATGGAGGCATTGAAGTACACTGCAGGAGGACAGAGCTGGGTGTTTCTAGAACATAGTATTGAGTATCCTTAGAAATACTCATCCTCTTCATTAAATGAGCACTGCAAAGTGAAAACTGCTTTTCAGAGTTTGTTTCTACACTTTTTTTTTCCTGAAATAAAATGGTTTAAATGCAGTGTCTTCAGATGGCACATTTTAGTGAAAAAAAGTAAAAAAAAAAAAAAACAAAAAAAAAATCAGAAATTGGATTCTGTGGGGGAAGAAACTTCTTTGTGTCTATTGATGCTCCCAAGAATTCCAAGGCAGTGGCTGTCAGTCTGGGAAATGTAAGTGCAGCTTAAACTTAAGAAAGTATTGTGGAAAATACAGTGCTAGCAAAAGGTGCCAAATACTCTCTTTGGCAACAGAAGCCTCAGACCAATGAATGACAGGTGTATGGCATGGTGTTGTTACACAATGCAGAGGAGAGGTGATTATATACACAGGTGACCTGTTTCAAGGGAATTTAGAATAAAAAGCTGTTATTAAAATACAGTGGTCTTCACCCAAGTTCATGCCAGAGGTATAAATACTATGCTTGACTTCACTTCCACAAAAAAATAAGACTACACTTGAGTGCAATAGCAAATGATCTGAAGCACCAGATTCTTCTTTCTTAATGACTTCTGGACCTTTAGTATCACAAGCAGCTTCTTCTGTATCTCCTATACAGAAGATATATTAGCAGGCAGCTTTATGCATCCCTAGACATGGGAAATTCAAGCAGGCATCGTTAGAAGAGCACAAAGGAGAAAAATAAAAACTGTGAACAAGGAGCCCAGAAATGCAACAGGACTTTGATTTTCTCTGCCTTCATCCAGTAACACTGGATCCACCTTCTCACTCATCATTCTCGTACTAGAAAACACTGTGCAATTAGAGCATAACTGCATAGCCCTGTGATGAGCATCAGTGCTATTCAGGGGTAATACGGAAGCATTACCTAGCATCTACTAGGACCTTGCCATGCCAGACACCATCCATCACCTCTCCCTAACGTTCTCATAGCTATGGCTTTTAATGTTTCAGAAAGTAGTGTTTCTATTGCTTCCCCTGCAAAAATTATCCGAGTAATACATCTTACTAACAGGAAACATTATGGAGGAAAATAAAGGTGAACAAGTCAATTAATATATCTAATTAGTGGGATGACTACACTCGGTCTTCAGCAGCCTATGATATTGCTTACAAAGGACAGTCATTCAAATGCCAAAGCTAAATTAGAAGCAAACAGTTTCTGATTAGGAATTTTCATACAGAGATGCCAAGCACTGACCGAGATGAGAACTGAGCTCTCCTCTCCCTTGTTGGCATAGGGCAGCATGAAATATGGTATATCTGGATTTTAAGCTTCCCTAGGGCCTCATATCCCAAAGACGTAAGATTCCTATTTTCTATAAACAATAGCTTGGATCAGATATTTAAAGAGCATGTTATAAGGAGAGCAGGCAGTTTCAAAATCCAAGTGAAAAGCCATGCTCAGCATTTAGAACCTGGGATTTAGTTCAAGCTGTTCCAACAGCTCAAATATTTCTTTCCTGTATAAGACATTTTGCTTTATGTTAGTTTAAGATAAGCAAAAATAAAACCTATTTGTACAACAATTCCAGGGAGATTAATGAGCCTGGAGCTCACTTATCTGAAAGCTGGAGCTTTGTTGAAGTCTAGGGATTTTGCTCCCTTCCCCCAGAGAAGCAATGCCAGCCCCTTTTCTAGCTGCAGAGTTGACTGGCTCAGAGGGTTTTGTCAACCTTAGCAATGATGGATGATGCTCCTGCTCCAGCAAGCTCCAGGCTGTCAGCTGGCTCAGAAATAATATACATGCTGACATGCACCATTCAGTCCACCTCCACTGAGCACACCCTTCTTACTGTAGCCCCACAAAGAGACTTGGGCAAACTGCAAAGCTTTTTTAGATTTCCAAATCTGTTCATATTTGTTTCTGCAATGACTGAAATCCACTGCACAGTTGGCAACTGATGAGGAGAGACTCTGTGACAGGGACAGATTTCGATATGCCGCCTGGATCCTTCACTTGCGTGCAAAGCTAGATGGCTTACCTCATCCATAGCATGGCTGACAGCGGGGAGATGAGGTGTCTTCTTCAGCTTCAGCAGTGATCCTCTGGCTGATGCTGGCACTGCACTGAATGGTTTTAAAAGAAAAATGGGAAATTATTTCTACATTATAAGGCTCCCATAGTACAGGCTGTCCATCAAGTAGACTTGAAAGAGTGTAACCCTGGTACAAAAAGGCCTTCGGAAAAATATCCAAAGAGGAAAACTTGAAATACACAATTTCATGTATTTTGAGAAGCAGCAAGGCTAGTTGTATATGATTTGTGCATCAACTCCAAGTGACACAAGGCCTTATCCAGTCCCATTTATTAGTAATTATGTGTTCCAAAAGCAAAAAGGCATCTGGAAATATAGCGTAACCTTGAAAAGCAGTCAGGTTTTTATCCCTCCTTAAATCATACCACAGGCCAAAGGGTCTTTGAGGACCTCCACTGGATACAGTGGCCTTAGCCAGCTTCTGTCCAGAATATGTCTTCTGCAAACAAATCAGCACACAATTAATTATAAACACTGTTATGTACAGTCAGTGTAGCAGATGCATTTCCACAAGATTTCAGGCAACCTACTTAAGTCTAACTGATCACAAAATGCAATAGCAAGTCAATACATCCTTATTAATAGTCAATATTGCAGCATTAAACAGGTGAGTTTAAATTGTTTGTTTTCCCAAAAAGCCAGAGAAGCCAGCATCTTTTCTAGAACCCACAAAAAGGTATATAAACTTAATGCAATTGATGGTACTTGATGATTTGCCATAAGGAGTTCCCTAGGACTGCAGCATAACCTTAACTATTATAACTAGCAATAAGTATGTTATACTAAAACTTGAGCAACTCTGCAGACCTGCAATAACTGCTGCTGAAATTGCAGGTGATCTGACTAGCAGCACTTTTCTTATTACATATGTCATGCTACCCAGGTAGCAAATTATTCCTGTCTTGGGAGGCGAGATGAATGGATCAAAATCTCGTATTTAGTTTTCCTTCTGTTACATTTCCAAAACTATGTTTCTAGAAAGGACAACTTTCTAGCAAATCCACCACATAATTCAACCTGTTGCATAGTAACATTAGTTCTCATGCAAGAATATGAAGCAAAATAGGGTTAGCATCCAAAGCCATCAGCAAGGTTGCAGTATCAGGCACTGATCATGGAACACTTCTCCCTTTGGGTATACAAAACCTGGCCAGAGTTAGAAACAGACACACACACAGAAAGCTCAGGATCTCACAGTAATACATGAGCCCCTACTGTTGAGCTTTAATACTGGTTTCCCTTGAAAAACAGACAGAGCACATTCATTAAATACACAACCCACCTTCTGATAGTAGACAAAAAATTCGAGGCAATGCATATTCATGTTATATGGTTCACATATTTATTATCCTATTACTCGTCCACAACAAGAAGAGGAAAACAAACATCACACAGCTTCCTCACGCCCCACACACTTGGTGGCTTTACATGGATTTGGCTTCAGCCAGCAACACACTGCAGAGCCTGCCAGCAATGCAGCAGTTCCTTTCAGCTGCATACCCTGCCAAAACTTTGATGAGGACTTGCAAGCAAGAGACTACACTGTAAGAGAAAAAGACGATTCTCTCACTTGATTCACCAGCAGAAAGCCACTTGCCTTCCGGGGCTGCAGGGGACAGCAGCTGGCAGCATCAGTACTTCCCACACACATCTCACTAAACAAACGCAGGGCTCCGTTGCTGGTTGCTGTTTCTCCCGTTTTCCCCACAAGCTCTTCCTTCTTTCCATTCCACAGAGCAGGTTTTCATACCCCACAGCTACAATAACTTGCTTGAACAAAGAAACCAAATACCAGTATCACCCCGGGCTGATTGCTCCGCCAGCTCAAGAGGGAAATGTGAACCTTCCTCATGTAAATAAGCGGAGCCTGCCTTTAATCTATTTACACTTGAGTTTTTAACATCATACTGCAAACACAAAAAATTTCACATCGGCCAGCAGAGCAGGTGAAAAGCTACTTGGACATTTACAACAGTGCCCCAAATGGGGTGATGCCTGTATTACAATGCAGACATTGCAGGAAAACTGCAAGGTAAGCACCCCCGAGGGACACAGAAGCTGTTGCTCCTTTTGCTACTATTTTTGTGGTAGCCTCTTTAACCTGCTCTGTTTCACCACTTGCAGTTTGAAATTGTCACACAAAAATTAGTAGGTCATACAAAAGGGAAGCTAATTAATGGAAATGCATGTGCTGAATACAGTTCACTTTTCTCTTTTTAGCACATTCTGTATGCAGCACAGGTACAGCCTTGTTACTGAAAAGGAACAAGATGAGCTGATTTAATACATGATAGCTGGAGTTACAGTAAACGTGATGCTGGCTGATAGATAGGAATTAATTGCAGCCTATTCCACACCGGGGCATTTCTGTAGAAGGGTAGTTTACAGCTCTATTTCTGCTACCTTTGGGGGCTACGGTTCAATCCATGGAGTAGCTCATCTGTCATCTCAGACACATCTCTGTGACGCCATTCTGGGTAAGCACCACAAAGGACTACTCCCCATCACGTACGGCTGCAGGCTGTGTGGGCCTGCAAGCAAAGAAAAATAGAGGAGGATTTCTGCCTGTCAGCAAGAGAAATAAAGAACCCAGAGCTGGATTAAGCATCTGGAAAATTACTGCAGCCTCACAGCTCTCGCTGCCTGCTACCCGGGATGAGTCACCACTGGTTACCCTGGCAACAAATATTCTCCTCCTCCTGCCACCGATCAATTCTGTCTATGTGAAGGTCCCCTGAAACCAGGAGCTGCACAGATAATACAGCAAAGTCACAGAAACTCCTATCAAGGAGCATTTTCATTTTGAATATGCTAGTCTTTGGTCTTAAGGAGAAATAAAACAGTTGGGGCATAAGGGAGGAGGCAGCAAACACCTGGTTTTGTTCAACTCAAATACCACTTCCAGACAGATGTGGTTAACAAAAAACCCTATTACCACTTCCACTAAACAACGTCTATAAATAAAACTTAGTATCTGGTCCTAAACATTAACCTACAATGTTCAGCATCAGTCCCAGATGCTCCAAAATTTAAAGGCACGCTCTAAAGCAGGAGTTTGCAGAGATCCAGTGCACAAATCCAAAGCTGACCAAAGAGTTAAAGCTCTCAGGCCCTACCCATACCTCCAGCCTTGACAAAATTACTCCAGGCAAGTAATTTTATCTTGGAAATACCCTACTCACCACCTTTCAAGTGCAAAGATAGGGCTGAGGAGAGCTGAGTTGTTGCTAAGCAATGCTAAAGTCCTGAAGCAACATCCATCAATGTTAACCCTTCTCCATCAACCTTCTGGGGTAAATGCAGTGGATGTTAGATTCCCTCTAATGAGACGAGGAAGTCTGAGTCTTTGTCTACTCTGTATGTGGCTCTCATAGATTCCACAGATACTGCCAATAAAGTTAGCCTCATATCCTTTGTTTCCACCTTTCACCCTTCTTAGGAATTTCATGGATTAATTAACTCATCCCTTGAAGGCAGTTTAAAATGGCTGCTAGTAGGAGCCTGATGCTGTTGAGTCAATTAAATTAATGGCCTCAACATCTACTTGTCTGATATTAGCTACAGGAATGTGAAAGCTACAGATAAGGCAAACCTCCCAGGAGACAAAAAAGGAAAGTCAGCCAGGGCAGCATTTGTGATGCAAGCAAAGACATAAGGCTAATGTTTGCCATGCTAATTTATAATGTTGACCCCTAACTGTTGTCTGCTTTCAGATATTGGACATACTTGAACAAAGAACATTAGACCTTAAAAATAAGAGCTACCTGGGCAGTCTGTTAACCCATTTACATCAGCTGGAGCCTTTAATGCACTCCTATTAGGAAGTACTACTCTTTGGGGGCATTCAGGAACAGAATGAAGAACACTGGTGTGGTGGTCTCCCTGTCTAGAAACTTCTCTTTTGACTCAGTTTCCTTAGAGGAGGAGAAGTCACATAGCTATATAAAGGTCTGAATGGCTTACAAATAACCTACCTACCAGGTTTTATTCCAAATATATAATCTGGAGCAAGGACAATTACCTTGCATCCAGCTGCAAGCAAATTCTCTAAAACTGGAACATTTGCACTGGCACAACAGGCTAACATAGAGCACAATAGCAATCTGATGGCAACCTGAAGCTAAGACATAGAAGGCTTCACCCTCCCCCCTTTCTTTTTTAATCGTTAAAGCAATCCAGTAGATATGCCTTCCTTTTCAGCAGTAAGCAGTTTGCCTTGCAGTTTGCCTTACAATTTACCTCCCAGACTGGCCTTGATCTTCAAGCAGGAGTGTAGCACAATCTGTATTTGCACGTGAAAAGGTGGAGGGGGTGAGCCCTTCTCCTGTGCATTTGTTCTGGGGAATGGTAGCATGTTCTTTAGCTGTGGATATCACATCACTGTGTAAGAACAAGACCATGACTCATTTTATTTAAAACTGAGTTTTGTGCCATAGCTTGATGCCATAGCTTCAAGAACAATCTTTGCTATCATTCTTCAAAGTTTGATTTTGACCATGTAGACTCTTACCTGCTTGCTGACCATCTCCCAGTGGCTGCAACTCTACTAGGAACAGCATTCTGTTTATTTCCTTCATCAGCATCATGCAGTAATCAAATTACAAAAACAAGCCATGCAGAGCAGCCAGACAAGAAACAACAACAGGAAGGAATAAAATTTCTGCATTCCCACCATGAAAATGATTTCTGCAAAGCATTCCAGCCCATTTTATACACAAGCTCAGTGACACTTCCAGAACAAAACCCAACCAGTCTGCTCTGAGGTTTCTTACCAGCAGAGCATAAGAAATACACTGTTGGAAGGGGAAGAAAGCAGCTACTTTTGTAAAGAGCCATGGCCTCGTTGTAGCTGCCTGTTCCACACAGCAGAGAGGACACAGAGATGACGGACTGTTGCCTGAGGATCCTGTCACCAAAGAGCAGATAGTACTGCAGGTCTGGGAGAGGGAACAGTGAAAGGATGACTGTGATATGGGAAAGGCTGAGTATCCCTGATTTAGAGAAGTCACTGGATGGTGGGAATGGCCGAAGACCCTTCAGCCACCCAGCAAGGGCAGCAAAAGGCAAGCAGAAGCCACTGGGAAAGACTTGCAAAACATGTCACAATTTGGTCTTTCATGTCCAGCACTTTGGCATGAACAGTTAGAGAGATGACATGAGCTTCTGAGCTTTTTGGATCTCATATGAAGGTGCTGGACTATCTTGCTGACCATGGACACCTTAAGCCTAAGGGGCACTTTAGTTCCAGCTCAGCAGTATGACAGTATCAGGCTCCCCCCTACAAAAGGGAGTTTTCCAGCAGAATTACATTAGTGTGGTTTTAACATTATTACTGATGATAGCTCCTTTTGCACACGAACTCAAATATTTAGTACATCCACCTTCTGATATTATTTCTATTGCTTTGAATGTTCACACAGAGAATTACAGTAAGACTGGGCAAAAGAAAAACCCCATCAAAACACAAAAGCCACAGCTAAATAATATTGAAGCCATTTGCTCACATCCCTGGGTGAAATCTCCCCTGCAAGGAGCATTAATTCCCACTGCCCTGTGGGCTCCTTACCATGGGCCTCCCAACAGGTACAAAAGGGGGAGTAAGGAATTAGTTAGCTATCTGCAAATTGTGTCTGTTCCACAGTATTTTCTCCCAGGGTTGGGAGAGAGAGGAGGGAGGAATATGAGACTTCATACACTAGAACAATCTCTGTGAACAGCCCTTTCTTATTTGCAAAAAGAGATCAGGGAAGGACAAAGGTAATGGTAGCTCCCTTCCCAAATTCATCAGGAGTTTTGTCATTCACCCAAATGCCATTTCATGCTTTAAATTCACTTAACACATGCCAGGCAACTCAAGGCCTGAGGGTAGAACTGAAGGAAGACTACAAAGTCTCAGAGACCAAACCTTACACACCCTTATTACAAGGATATGATTTCAGTGGTGAGAAGCTTTCCTTATGATGTTAGCTACCTTACTGATTTCTACATGAAGCTGCTTCGTTTTGCCTCAGATGAGAGAAATGGAGATAAATATTTCAGCTTCCTGTAGCATAGGAACTTTACTGTGCAGGTGACTGAGCACTGGAATAGGCTGCCCAGAGATGTGGTGGGGTCTCTTCCCCTGGAGATACTCAAGAGCCATCCTGACACAATGCCAATAATGTGCTCTAGGTGACCCTGCTTGATCAGGGAGGCTGGGCTAGATGAACCCCTGTGATACTTCCAACTTCAACCTTTCTCTGTTCTTAAGATATCACCAAGAGGTCCAGAAGAAATCATCATGGTTTATATTAACAAAATACATTAGTGTGAGAAAGGATGGAGTAGCAGTGACAAGACAGATTATTAAAAGAAAGACTTTTTCTTAAATCCGAGTTTATAATCCATGAAATCTAATGATATCCACCGGGGGGGGGGGGGGGGGGAAGGAAAAAGAAAAACAAACCCTGCCTTTATACAGAAACTGAATTCTTAATTCATTCTTAAAATAGGAAGCCTTTTAGAAAAAAATTGACCTCAAGCTCCAGAGCTGCTATATGAATAGAAGTAACAAACACCTTTTCCTCCTGAAAAGGGAAAAAAGAAAAAATGGTGAAATAAACCTTTCTTCATCCCAGGAAGATGACATAAGGGAAAGGAGTTTGTGCATGCACACCAGAAAGTAAAACTGAATGCAGATACAATGAAGTTAATTCAATTCAGTTTTATTTGAGAATGAACACTAGAACACAAATAAGCACACAGGCCAGTTTAATAATGTACACTGTTCTTCCAGTCCAGACAGAATATTTATATATGAAATAACATTTTTAATCTTACTAGATAGCTTTTAAATACAGAACACATTGTTTTTAAGAATCATAACTGGGAGAAGAGAGGAAGACATCAAGACTCCTGAGCAACACTTCCATTTGCAGTCTTTCACCAACACTGAACTTGTGCTAAAACCATCCTCAAGATTTTGATGACTTAGCCTCAGTATGGACAGTACCAGCATAAATTCCCAACACTGGTTAGTGGTCTCTGGCAAGGAATGGAGGATTCTGAACATAATCTATCTGAAGCAAGAAGATCTTCAGAGCCATCTGGGGATGTACTGAATAGTTTTGCTTAGCACACCTCAAGTGGTTAATCTCATTTTTAAGTTCTCTGCCACCAACACAGCTCCCAGTCCAGGTTAATAATTTCAGATGTTAGCACCTACCAGTGAAAACTCAGCCCAGGGACCGTGCTGATATGTTACCACAGCAACAGTTACTTATGAACTTGGAACTTGCCAAGGACCATTTGAAAACCTCTGCGCCCCTTCAGCCCACACAGCACGGGGACAGATAGAGCTGCCTCAGAAGCTGATAAGCTAAACT